GGTGGGGCAGAGGAGCACCAGGTGGGTGAGGACAGAGGGGCTCAGCTGAGCCCCACATGCCCATCCAGACCTCCCCCATCTTGTTATTAAACAAAATCAGCGCCCAGTGCCTGTCCACTTGCACAGGCATCCTCAGGCTGACTGACTGTGCGGTGGGACCTGTGGCGGGGCCCGTGTCAGCCCTAGAGACACACGTCGGTTTTCCCCTGACACCCCCTCTCTAGGCGGCCCCCCTCTTGCCCCCACCGTCTCCTCAATCATCCCCAATGCACACACGGTCCATTCCTGGGGGCCCACCGACCTCCAGGGCACAAGGAGTAAATGGGGGGCGGCCAAGGGAGCCCGGGGGGTGTCCTTCGGGGAAGCTGGAGGAACCCTTACACCGTGCACCCCTCCTCTGCCTGCGCCCCAGCACCTGGCCATGGAGGGCCAGGGCCAGTCTCAGACGGTGGCCTCGGCTCCAGAAAACAGCGCCAAGAACCGCTACCGGAACGTGCTGCCCTGTGAGTCTGAGGCTTTTAATACGTTTTTATTGATGTCAGAGAGGGAGGGAGAGGGAAACATCAATGATGAGAGAACCATGGCTCGGCTGCCTCCTGCACACCCCCCACTGGGGACCGAGCCCGCGACCCGGGCCTGTGCCCTGACCGGGGATCGAACCGTGACCTCCAGGTTCCTAGGTCGACGCTCAACCGCTGAGCCACCCTGTGAGTCTTGAGCTGCTGCTGGCTTTGTCCCCAGCCATGACTTTGCCAGCTCCCTGTCCCTCTGGCCCGGCCCTGACCCCTTGGGACATGCGGGCTCTGCCCCCAGCAGGTCCTTGCTCCGCCCCCTGGGAGCTCCGGGTGTCTGTCCCCCCTCAGCCTGACTCCTGTCTCCTCCTCCCCAGACGACTGGTCCCGCGTGCCCCTGCGGTCCCTCGGAGGGGCCCCGGGCTCCGACTATATCAACGCCAGCTTCATGCCCGTAGGTCCCCCCGGGAGCAGGAGTGGGGGGAGGGGGCCCCGGAAGCTCAGGGCCCCGAGGGGTCACCGCTGCCCGTCTCCCTCCCCCAGGGTCTCTGGAGCCCCCGGGAGTTCATTGCGACCCAGGGCCCCCTGCCCCAGACGGTGGGCGACTTCTGGCGCCTGGTGTGGGAGCAGCAGAGCCACACCCTCGTCATGCTGACCAACTGCATGGAGTTGGGCCGGGTGAGCAGACGCCGGCAGGGACCCGGGGGACTGACCCCCGAGCTCCATCCGTGACCCCCCCCCCCCGGCATCCCCCCCGACACTGATCCCAGTGTGGACCCTGCCTTACACCCCAGGATTACCTCCCGTGGGACCCCAACCTCCCCCATCACCCCCAGCCCATCCCATGCCCACCTGTGGGGTGAGGCTGATCCAAATGACCTTGGAACTGCACATCGAGCCACCATGGGGGGGCCTGGGCAGGTTCCCTGGGCCCCCCGTGCCCTGACCCAGCGGTCCTCCCCCAGGTGAAGTGTGAGCATTACTGGCCTCTGGACGCCCAGCCCTGCACCCACGGGCACCTGCAGGTGACCCTGGAGGGGGAGAAGGTGATGGAGAACTGGACAGTCCGAGACCTGAAGCTGCGACACGTGAGTCCCGCCCTTGCCGCCACCCGGCACCTCAATTCCTCCCCCAGGACATTCCGGGGATTCCCCTCCCCACAGCTCCCCGGGACCACGGGTGCCCCAGGGATGCCTCTCCACCCCCCAGTCCGCAGCCAGGCCCCTCTCCCCCGTTCTGAGCTCTCCACCCCACCCCCCACCCTCGCAGGAGCAGAAGACTCTGTCCGTGCGACAGTTCCACTACGTGGCCTGGCCGGACCACGGCGTCCCCCACTCCCCGGACCCCTTGCTGGCCTTCTGGAAGGTGCTCAGGCAGTGGCTGGACAAGACCCCCGAGGGAGGCCCCCCCATCGTGCACTGCAGGTGAGGACCACCCCGACCCTGTCCTCGTGCCTCCCGTGCCCTGACCCAGACGTCCTCTCCCCGGTGAAGGTCGCGGGTTCGATTCCCGGTCAGGGCACATGCCTGAGTTTACTTGCGAGAGATGCCCCCTGGGGACTCCAAAAAGGGGGTGATTTGGGTGCAAGGGAACTTGTAGAGGAGGGAGAAGGCGTTGGAGACAGAGGTAAGGGAGGCAGCGTGGGGACGAGGGTCCCGATGAGAAGACGGGAAAGAAAAGGAGAAGGTAATGGAGGAGAAGGCCTGAGAGAGGAGGAGGAGGGGCAGGGAGGACAGGGGTGGAGAACGGGAGGGAGAAGCACCAGAGGCTTGGAGAAGCATCTGAAACGCCTCCCTGGGCTCCTGTGCCGGCCTCAGCCCTCCATCCAGGTCCTGTTTATGCTGGAGCCTCTCAGATAACATTTCACGGGATGTAAGTCAGAGGAGGACAAGGAAGGGGTGCTTCTGAGTGACAGGGAGGGAGGGAGGGAGGGAGAGAGAGAGAGAAACGTTTCTTGCTTCCTGCACACCGCCCCACTGGGGATTGAGCTGAAACTCAGGCATGTGCCCTGACCAGAACTGAACCGGTGGCCTTTTGGGGCACAGGATGGTACCCAACCAACTCCAACTGAGCCACACTGGCCAGGGTTCTTTGATCTCAGAGAGGAAGGGAGAGGGAGGGAGAGATCTCCTACTGAGGACCGAGCCTGCAACCCGGGCATGTGCCCTTGACCGGAACCGAACCCGGGACCCTTCAGTCCGCAGGCCGGT